TCAATATGACTTTTGTTCTGAGCGTGTCAGAAAGGAATTGTTTGCTTGCCACTAGAGTTTACCACCAGCGGTATCCTGAAAGAAGGTGCCCTGATATCAAGAGCTTTCAGAATTTGCTTGAAAGGTTTTTAGATACCGGCAATGTACAATACAAAAAAAGGAAAGGAGGAAAAATGTTATCAATGAAAAAAATGAGTTTTTTCTGTGATGCTGACAATGGTTGAAGATCCCCACATCAGTCAGAGAGAAGTGTGTTCATCCGTTGGAATAAGTAGGCGTTCAGTTGGTCGAATTTTGAAGAAGAAAAAGTTTCATGCATATCACATTCAATTGCATCAACTTAGTAATGAAGACTTTCAAAAGCGTCTAGAGTTTTCCAATTGGGCGAGTGGGAGAATGCAAGAGAATGCGAATATCTTCAATACAGTATTGTTCACAGATGAACCTTCTATAATCTATAAGAATGGATTCGTTAATAGGCATTATTTTCATTACTATGCATCAGAAAATCCACATTTCTTCAGGCAAGTTGATAATCAGCATAGATGGTCCATAAATGTTTGGGGAGGAATCATTGGAGAACATGTAATAGGGCCGCATTTCTTCGATGGTACCTTGACAGGAATTGTTTATTTGAATTCCTTGGAAAACAATCTGCCGCAATTACTAGTGAATCTTCCTGAAAGGAATAGAATGTGGTTTCAGCAAGATGGTGCTCCGCCACATTATTTGAATGCAGTAAGGGAACACTTGAATGATATCTACCCACTACGCTGGATTGAGAAAAACGAACCCACTAAATGGCCTGCTAGATCCCCTGATTTAACGAGTATGGATTACTTTTTATGGGGCTACGTTAAGGAAATTATGTATACAGATACTCCAACGACAGTTGATGATATGAAGGAAAGGATCATGAATGCTTTCAGGAGTATCGGTGGTAACGGTCAATCACATATGGAGCACTTATTGTAATATGTTGAGTTCGTGATTTTATTTTGCACAATTTCATGTCAATAGTTCAAATGTGGATTATTATTCTGGTTTTGTTTTCAATGTACTATAAATCTATGGGATATTTGAGAAATGAAAATTTAGGATTTTTTATTTTGTACTTACCTAAATAACTAGCATATGCGCTATTCGTGTTTTCATTGATTCTAGTATCAAATCTTTCAATAAAAAAACGGGTTTACTGAATTATTGATAGGACTTCTGATGTTTCCATGACAGTTAAGAATCTGGATCGATCAAAATGGCCAACCTATAATTTTCAAAGTTCAATAATTCAATAATGGTCACGAATATCGATACGGATGTTCGGACAAATGACGTTCGTGTTCTGATTTTACATCAAATGGCCAAAAAATATATGGGTTGTTCCATTTGAAAAACTCGAGAAAAATCACTTCGAAAAGTTCCGAGTTGAAAAATCATTTTCAGCCACCCTGTATAATTTGAGGGCATGAAAATTCTTCATGAACATCACGCATCCTTCCATCAAATGACATTATAATGATGTTCTCTTAGATTTCATAATTGTGACGACAGTGATTTTTTCGGTGTGCATTTGCAGATGACATTATTTCGACAAAAAAATTCATAACTTTGATATGATCGAGATATAGTCAATAATATTATAGGGGTCGTTAGAGCTCACAGAGATGCTTCGAAAATTGTGCTAATGTACAGGGCATTCCATTTAAAAATAATGATAGCGACTCTCTAGATTTTTTTCGGTGCGCCCTGTATATGCGGCAATAATTTCTACTGATGGACAATGTTGTCTCATCCAGATTAGTTCTTGAATCATATTTGTAGCTACCATAGAACTCGAGCAATCGAGCATCGACGCACTAATGCCCCACCCTGTATATGTACATATATTTATACATATCGACTAGTAAATAGTTAGGTTTTGCTTTCGGAATTCAATTGATTCCAACATCCAGGGAAGACTACAATAATTATTGTCAGTAATATACTTTAAAAAAGTCAAAACATTTTTGTACTTACAACTACGTGAGGATGATTACTATGATGTTTACAATAATTATAAAAATTGAATTGTGATACATCATCCAGGAACGAAGTTGTGAATTATATCATTTTATAAAACAATTACAAAAGCTACAAAAATAAGTAAGGCCATTTTTGCAGTTGGTACCATTGTTGGTACTACTGCATATAGTACTTGTCACGCCAATACTGTCAATCAACATTTTTAACCTAATTTCAATATTATTTTTTCATTGTTCAAGTTTTTAACATGTTTGATTGTAACAGGAGCGATTGTAGATTGCATCCGGAAAGATGTGCTCTTGCAGACCATGTCAATAAAATGGATCATCATAATATGGACTATGATTCAGCGAGAATTTTATAGCAATTGAAAATAATCACTAAAAGATCCTTCCTAGAAATGGCATTCATTTCCCAAAACCCCAATTGCATCAATAAAAGAACTGATATTCAACATCTGAGCGGAATTTACTCATTTCTTTTAGACAAACAATCTCACATTCCTCATAGTATTTTGGAAATGAATAATGCCTAATAATAAACAATACAATTTTCTTAAAATTCCTCATATTTAAGCTTTTCGAAAATAATCAGTTGTATTGCATGATCTGCCTGCTGAACTAGTTAGTATGTTTCACCTTTTTTTGTTCCGTTGGTTTGGGATTTGGAGGATTACTAACACCAGTAAGTACCATAATGGTTAAGAATTCTCACCTACGACCTGCTTATGTCAACCAAATGCAAAGAAGATGAATGATCATTTTAACCTATATTTTTCAGATTCGATAATAATCGTTTCAATCACGCTGGGTTTTGAGAATTCAAACTTATTCATAAGGTAATAATTAGCCTCCAGGCTGAACTTACTTATAACAAAATGATTTTTTAATTTGCGTTTGTCTCATTAATATGTTATTTTTGATATTTTTACGAATTTTACAACAGAGTAACCATTTTCAATGAGTGTAAGTGATAAAGTTTTTTCAATATTGTGCGGCTGGCTTCTGTTTGTTGACTCCGTTTATTTGTTGTTTCCTTTTCTACCAAGTGCTTCCCATCCTTTGCACTTCCTTTCACCGTACTGATGAGGGTCGAAAGCCCGAAACACGTATATACGGTTATCTCTTCGTGTGGGCTACTGGTACTGGTACTGGTGGGGGACGTTTCCACGTCAGCAACTAGTCCCCAATGGGACCTTTTTGCCAACCCCAAGTGTTTTCAATGACTGATGTGGTTCGCTCAAGAGAGCTGGCTAACATCCTTTTCAGGCACCGCCCATCAGCTCTCTTTTCAGAGTTTTTCAGCTGTGTTTTGTAGGCTAGTAATGTACTCACTACCATATGCGCAGTGGCAGGCCTGCTAACTATCATCGTTAACCCCCGAGACCGAGGTCTACTTAAGCAGCTGGCCCGCTCTCACGCTCAGCTGGTAGTTTTCCACACCCACCTACATACACGTAGGCTAGTAATGTACTCACTACCATATGCGCAGTGGCAGGCCTGCTAACTATCATCGTTAACCCCCGAGACCGAGGTCTACTTAAGCAGCTGGCCCGCTCTCACGCTCAGCTGGTAGTTTTCCACACCCACCTACATACACCGTCCTACTTCTTCTCTGATGCTCACAACCACATCATCATATCTTTCTGCGTGTTCTGTGTAGGCTTTGTTACTAACTCCATGCGCCACTTTAGGAGCAGCACTGTTAATTGGAACGCAACAGCGAATCGTGCAGGACTATCCCCAGCCGATGCTCCGAAACTTTACAATATTTAATTCGTAAATAAAATATTGAAAAAAGTTCCTTGCCCGTGCTGGAAATCGAACCCACGACCTTGCGGTCGTGTGGGCTAACATCTGATCGTTATCGAACAATAGTAGTCGTATAATCTGAGATTCAATTGTCGAAAAATATGCATGCAAAAAATTTGAGCAATATTTAATGTAGTTCCACCCTGTATTATATATTCCTGAGTGAAATTTTGAAATCGTTATATCTTCACTGCATTAGGCATGAAAAGTTTAGTTGTTGCACCAAATTGCATCTCTTCATCACATGGAGTTTCGAAAATATTCAAGAAAGATCATCTTCCGGAGCCCCTTTTCAGGCGACCATAGCTCCCTCATGTTGCTCGTCTCATGTTCCTTGAAACTTTATTTCTATTTTTGATCGTAGAAGCCACTGGAGAAGTTTGGCAGGCTAATTTCGGGACACCCTGTATATATATAATTTTTTTGTGTTCATAGTATATCTGAGGATATTGTTTTTCAATATTTGCAGAATATTAAAATTATAATATAATTAATTCTGAGTGAATTAGTTGCATGTTTGGTTTGAATTGAGGATATTGAATGAACCTTCTTGTCTTAGTGATTAAGCATTCAATTTTATGGTTATTTCGATCTTTTTTTATGACATTATTATTCGACTGATTATATTATCAGGTAATTCGAAAGACACTTTGGAAGTCGATGAAAACAAGAAGTGGATGAGGAGGATGGGTATATGTATTTTTGGTGTTTATAAGTTCTTGCAGAATTCGAAATATGTTTCGTTCTACGGAATTTTGTGAACACAAGTTTTGGGACAGAATTATTCGACAAATCTCTCGGGGTTGACGATACAATGATGCATGTGCTAATGCTTTAGCTTGTGGAGTCCGTTCGACTATCCCTTGAAAAGTGAAAGAATCTTTTCCGCTGTGTTTCAAATATCTCACTTCATACATACATGACTTTCAACAGTTTCAACAAAAATATTTGTGAGAGAATATTTATGATATGCGCATTGAAAAGGTATTGGTTTTTTCAACCATTTTGCAGGTGTTCTTCTTTGCTGCATTCAGTGATTGATGAAGGATCTTTAGTACTTTCGACTTGACACAAACATCGCTGTTCTGGATCCCAAAAAAAATCTAGGATGAACCTACCACACCTTTGAAAAACATCAACTTATATCCAATATTGTATCTATTCCAGGAATTGAGAGCAAATTGGATCATCTAAAAGACGCAGGGGTGACAGCAACATGGCTATCTCCAATTTTCAAATCTCCGCAAGTCGATCAAGGATATGATATCAGTGACTATCGCATGGTAGATCCAATCTTTGGCTCAAACGATGACCTGACAAGTCTGATTAAGAAAGCACATGATTTAGGAATCAAAGTTATTCTTGATTTTGTGCCCAACCATACTAGTGACAAACACGAATGGTTCGTGAAATCTAATAACATGACTCCAGGATATGAAGATTATTATATTTGGCATCCAAAGAGTAACAACACATCATCAAATCCGCCTCCTGTTCCAAACAATTGGGTGAGTCACAATAAACTGAAGTAAATTCGAGCTTTGATGATGTGAAAGTTTTCCAGATATCAAATTTCAAGGGCTCTGCGTGGGAATGGAGTGAAAAACGCCAGCAGTATTACTATCACAACTTTGCAATACAACAACCCGATCTTAACTACAGTAATCCAAAGGTTGTGAAGGAAATGAAGGTGAGCAATATTTTGTGAAAATGAAATTCCAGAAGATTTATTTATTGGTGAGACGATAATGCGAATGGTTAATTGTTATATAAGTTGTTTTCATGACCACTGAAGTAGAGTGATTCATAATCTCTACTTATTATATACGATAACGTTACTCCAAATATTCATGTTGATGATGTGAGCTGCTATTCAATTGACTCACTTTTTGTGAAGAAATAATTGAATCTGATGCGGCCTCTTCTTTTGGACACATCCTTTTTTTTCTCCTCAAAAGCATAACAGTCCGGTGAATCGGAACACAACCTCCAGATGGTTTCTTACAATTCCCAGATTCGAGCCAGCTTCAGAGCAACTATTTTCTGTATGTTCTACTCCGGTTCGGTGCTTCATAGGTCGACTAACGTATTCCAGAGGTCACTTTAAATCGGTTTCTGAAAAAATATTCCTCTTGTTGTCAGAACTTCCTTCTGCAGAGCTCATATCTCTTTTTTATAGTGCTCGTGCAACGGATGGACCTTATCGTTAAAGCTCGTACAGATTACCAAATCTCATCATGAACACGATGGTTATTTCTTGAGACATCTGAGGATTCTGGGTTACGCAGTGAGCAAGTGAGTATTCTACATAGGAGTGGTAACAGGATCGCGGTGCTCTTTCTTGGTGACCATCCTTGCTTCTGATGAACCTATGTATGTCTCCATGAATTCGTCGAATGAAACCTCTCCTGCCGGACGTACTTATTGTACTTGTTGGTTTCCCTCGAATGGTGCTAGTCTGTTGAAATGAGCGAATCTTGGTGTGCCACTGGTTACTCTCCTACGGTAGATGACATCGTTGACCTTCTTCTTGACGGTATGAGGTCCTCAACAAGATCTCTGAAAATTCAGATGAATACCGCGTTGCCTTTTCGGATTGTACAACCACACCAGGTCTCCATCTGCGTAGCCTGCACTCCCAGTTCTGATGTATCGGTTCTTCATGCGAACGCTGGCGATTTTCAGATTAGAACGAACCAATTATAAAATATTGTTCATATTCTCTATCAGTTTTTCAATGTATTCTTCTTCCACCATATCCTCACTAGATCTTCATCCGAACACCAAGTCACATGGATCGCCCTGATATCTAGTCAAGCACCTTTGCTGGAGTCGGTCCCGTAGGTTGCTGTATTGCAGATCTGTAGGCCATCAATAACTCATAATCTGAAACACTCAGCTCTCGAAGTTCCAGCCCTGACCAGAGTATTCCGAAGGCACCTCAAAACGACTGATGAGTTGATTTAGTAGGACATTGGCAACAATTACCGCCTCTTGTTTAGGGATCGCATTCGCTTCCACCCACTTGGTGACGTAGTCCATGCAGACGAGGATGAATTCATCTCCACTATCGGCTATATATCCAATATCCATGATAATTCCCTCGAAAGGGCTCCCGACATTGTACTATCTCATGGGTTCATTGCTGTCGAAGCATACGGTGCCTTCACGGCACGAAGTCTTGACGTCACTACAATTCACCCAGTAGAACCGCTCACATACACGCTGTGGTATCTTCCTCACTTCTAGATGTCCCCCTGAAGTTCCATCATATACATATCCGGGTACTTCTGATACTGGGTTCCTAGAAATGACTAATTGAATAAGGTTATTCGTCTTTTCACCGCTCTCGAGTTCTCTCTCCCTCTTCTGCGTCGTCTTCTAGTATCAAGAAGTTTCACTGACTTCAGTATACCTTCAAAGTATGTGAAGATGACACTACTTCTTGTCAAGTGGGGCAGCGATTCTCCTCTTCTCATCCCTGGAGTTTTCCAAGTTCTGGCTCCTATTCTCGCTCTTGCTTAACTGCCAAAAGTGGTGACAATGGTGTTTTTGCAGAGGGTTGCTTTTTTATCCTCCAAGCGACTACAATGTGAGCATTCAGATGGACATGGCCCACTTGACGATGCATCGGCATTCCTTTGGCTCATCTCTAAGTGCTCCACTGACTTCACCATTGCCATGAGTTTCCTCCTGATATCGCAGAAGTTCCGCTCTGACCTTGCTGAAGTAATGGATGACTTGCTTCTGCCCATCTTCAAACTGCGAGAAGACCCCTCCAATACCGCTATTACTGGCATCTGAGTCAAGAATGAATTGTCCTTGTGGGAGCGGATACCTATGAATCGATGTTGTCCTCAATCATTCCTTCAGAGCATCAAAGGCGGCTTGACATGTCATATTCCAGTAGAAGAGACGTGCGCAATTATGATGTATTTTCCCAGGATTAAATCTCCTTCAATATCTGCCAAGATAGCTGGATATGGAATTTGATGATCCCAATCTTTATATCCACATTAATTTCCTCATCGACGGTGGTAGCTTCTTGCTGGGCCGCCATCTGGTCAACCATATCCTGCTGCTGAGTCACCATCTGTTTCGATATTTCACCAACATAGATTCAGTTGAAGCTGGTTTCTTGAAGGTGAACGTCTCTGGATATTGACCTGGAAGACCAATATCCTTCTATTCAAGTGTTCTCTAACGTGGCTCGAAAGACAGATGTGAGCATGCGCAGTAGAGAGCCAAGAATGCCATGGGCGGCTTCAGAATTATTTGATTACCATGTTTCTGTGGCTTTCTTGAAAGAGCAAACCATTGTGACGATTTTATATGATATTATTTGTTATCATGGATATTTTTGCTGTTAATAGGGGTCATGTTCCTATGTATTTCCTATCAACTGGAGTGTTCATTAGATGGAGATGGGCGACCATGTATACAGGGTGGTTCTGGTTACATAAGCATCAATTCACCATGGTTCACCAAAAAAAATAAGTCGGCATGCAAATTATCATTGTTATTCAAGAAGCTTCTTGAGGGAGATTCCTACATTCCTCAGAAGACATCAAAAGGGTTTCACAAAATTTTGTGCGAGTACTTATGGAATGGTTACTCATTGTTTGACGCAAGTAGTCTAGTGGCGTAGATACAGGCGGATTGTTTCACTTTTCTTGTTCTATTTATTAAACCACTGAATATTTGTCGAATTGGGATATAGAATTCCCTGTTCGAATCAGAAATGAAGACAATTTCGAAAAGTTCTGATTTGGTGCTTCGTTTACGAGATAATTGAATTTCGTAAATACCGAAATCTCGCGAGGATTGGATAGTTCAGTTGAAAAAAACAGGACTCAATTTCTCAACACTGGCAAATCGCCCTAGAGCAGTCATTCAAGCGACGTGGCGAGTCATCTAGAACATTGATTCCATAATAAACTTCGAGCGATATAGTGTTGTACTTACCTGGCTGTGTGAGAACCTATGCCAGATGATATTCATCATACAAGGGATTAAAGTTTTAGATTTCTGATCTGAAATTTTTCGCTTGTATAATGCACTATTTTTTACTGTGGCGTGAAAAACGAAGATTCAATATTGAAGGCACCAACTTTTTAGAATAATCCTGAGTTGTGTTCTCCAGAAACGTCTAATGTGCCATCCACCGTGAATCAGCCTGTATACCGTTGTAGGTACTTTTATAGTGCTAATTATAATTATTGCATTGCTGAGGAAACATATTCAAGTAATTGAATATTAATCAATTCACTTCTGTGATTCGATTTGAGAATTGCTAACTTGACACTGGCACAACAACAGAAGCCATCAACAGTGTATTTGGAAAAAAATAAAAACAAATTTCTTCTTGACAAAAACCTTATTTCATGAAAAATGATATAGTGTTGACTGTCAACAGATATGAAATGTAATTTGTTTTTATTTACAACTAAATATGTAATGTCATCATTATGATACTATCAAGGCGAAGGTGAATATTACAGTGATTCTAATATCAAAAGCTTTATACAGAGTAACTCACGGTCGATGGTACGTTAGACGTTTATGAAGAACGCAACGCAGGATTTCTCTGAAAATTTTGCATCTTACATTTTATCACCTGTTCTATCGATCTAAAATATTTTCGAAATTGCGACGTTGCCGTTTCTATCAAAAAGTTCTGGCAACCTCATTTTTTTAAATGGAATACTCCGTATATTAACAAATTTTTAGATTTGCCTTTTTATTACAATACTCTTTTGTTGATAAATCCCTATACCTATCTCTATCGGTTTTCGAGATAAAAAATAATTTGTGTTAAATATGATCCAAAACATATCCCTAATTGAACTTATGTAAATCAGGGCTCTCGGATCATAAAGATTTGATATTTTAGTGGTAGTTTGGACAGGCTTGATGTCTTCAATTTACACCGAGAATAAGTCGCATCCATATCATAGCGGGCGTGCTGGAATTCTTATTATATCCGTTGTTCATACAAGTGGTCAAAAGTTCTTTTTTTCAAATGGAACCCACTGTTTTTTACTCGATGAATTGAAAGACGAATAGAAATGCTACAAGATGACATAGCATGTCCCTATACCTAAATCATCAAGTTTTCTTTATAAAGCCGCTTTTTGTGAAAAATATGAAGTTCTTATGAAGTTATTTATTATACACGGACAAGGTGATCAAAGCATTGCCAGAACTTGCAGAAAATTCAACCAAATGTATCCTGAATTGACACCAATGAACAAGAGTTTATGAGATTACAAAATGATTTCATCAACTATGGCTCAAAGTTGCAAGCGCCTCCAACATTACCAAAACCTGTTACTTCGAATGAAGACAATATTGTTGACGTTTTGGCATATTTTCATGCATATCCAGGAGCATCCATTCTTAGTGCAGAAAAAGATTTGGGTGTATCACATGCTTCAGTACAAAGAATTTTGGGAAATCACAAAATGCATCTGTATAAATTCAGTAAAGTTCAAGCTCTCACTGCAGAAGCGGAGAGTGCATTTTTGCGAAGCCCTTCTAATGCATACCCAGGAGGATCTAGAATTTTTGTCGAAAATAATTTGGAGCGACGAATCAAAAGTCACGAGGGATGGGATTTTCAATAGAAGAAATAAGCAATGATCATGATCCTCATAAAACAAAAGAAATGGGTTTTCAAATAAAATTTGACCTAAATGTTTTCTGTATTTAAAAAAATAATAAGATCAGCTTTTTCATTTACGATGGCACCCTGGATGCTGAGAGATGATATATTCAAATATTGAGGACGACTGTGACAGATTTCCTCGAAAATTTGCCTTTAGAGGAATATAGGAATTCATGGTTCCAACTGGACGGGGCGCCAGCTCATTCAACTCAGGAAGTTTCCAGGAAACTTTACGAAATGTTTAAGGATCGTTGGTTTGGCTGTTTAGGTCCGTGGGACTGGCCACCGAGATCACCTGATCTCACGCCGCTTAACTTTTTTTTATTGGGTGTTTTAAAAGAAGTGGTGTACAGTACTCCAGTGCGTACCAAAGAAGAACTGCGACGGCGAATAGTGTGGTGTATTGAAGATTTGGATCTTCATAAAATTCAAAAGGCAACCACGAGTCGCGTATAAAAGCATATTTTGAAATGTTTAGAATGTAATGGACAACATTTCGAGCATTTATTGTGAAAATGTGATCTTTTGTTTATACTTTTGTTACTTCCGTTCCTCCTAATTCTGTTATTTTCTGTACTTTCACAGTGAATCTAGCTTTTTACCTAGATATGCTAGAAAAGCTGATTTTTGATAGAGTTGTTGGAAACTTTGAGCCATAGTTGATGACATTATTTTGTAATCTTATAAACTTCCTCTTGTTCATTGGTGTCAATTCAGGATACATTTGGTTGAATTTTCTGCAAGTTCTGGCAATGCTTTGATCACATTGTCCGTGTATAATGAATAACTTCATAAGAACTTCGTTTGAATAATCGATATTTGCGTTCATTTTAGAGATTTTTTGAAACACTGTGAATAACAATTACTGAAATAATCATTTATGTCACCGAACTGTCATGAGTTTGATATTTCCATGGCTATCTAAAATTAACTTTTTCATAAAATTATATTTTTCACAAAAAGCGGCTTTATAAAGAAAACTTGATTATTTAGGAATAGGGACATGCTATGTCATCTTGTAGCATTTTTATTCGTCTTTCAATTTATCGAGTAAAAAACAGTGGGTTCCATTTGAAAAAATGAATTTTTGACCACTTGTATGAACAACGGATATAATAATAATTTCAGCACGCCCTGTATGATATGGAGGCGAATTCTCGGTGTGAATTGAATACATCAAGCCTGTCCAAACCACCACTGAAATATCAAGTCTTTATGATTCGAGAGCCCTGATTTACATAAGTTCAATTAGGGATATGTTTTGGATCATATTTAACACGAATTATTTTTTATCTCGAGAACCGATAGAGATAGGTATAGAAATGTATTTACGAGAGAGTATTTTTATAAAAAGGCAATTCTGAAAATTCTGATAGAAACGGCAACGACGCATTCTCGAAAATATTTTAGATCGATAGAACAGGTGATAAAATGTAGGATGCGAAATTTTCAGAAAAATCCTGCTTTGCGTTCTCCATAAACGTCTAATGTACTATCGACCGTGAGTTACCCTGTATGAAGCTCTTGATATAAGAATTACTGTAATATTCACCTTCGCCTTGATTGTATTATCTTTTTAAATTATCATATTCAGTATATTATATATGTTTCGAATATGTTTTTAGGATACACTAACTTATTGGCTAGACCAAGGTGTGGATGGATTTAGAATCGATGCAGTACCATATCTATTCGAAGATCCTCAGTTTAGAGACCAGCCACTTGCTGATGGTTATACAGAATATGATATCAACAATGCCGACTCTTTGAATCAGATGTACATAAAGGATCTACCAAAAACGTTCGATATGATTTATCAATTCAGAGAACATGTTGACGAGTATGTTAAGAAGAATAATAAGAATGAGACCAAGTAAGCTGTAATTACTGAACATGGCAATTTTATATCACTCTGAATTCTCCTTTATCATTTCTAATGAATATCTATCAATAGAGAATCAAAATAAAACTAAATAACAATATTGGCAAATCTGGATATCTACTGAGCGACATTATTCATTCGCAGAGTTTATTAATAGAACTGAATCAACACAGGCTGCGTGAACAAAAACGAGGTTAATGTGGGCTATTATACCCCCAGCAGGTATAATCAGTATTCAAGGAGAATCAAGATTATTGAGTTCGAAAAATTATTTGAAACAAATGATCAGTATCATTTTATTTTCAAGCGTTCTTGTTGAGATTCAAAATACATGATGGATTTAATGATTGTTCATAGTAGCCAGTTTTTCCTGTAGTTTTTCTGAATTGGAATATCTAGTTCAGAATCTCCACATCTAACTCATGAATGGAAGAATAGCCACAAAGCTATTGTTTTTCATTATTCATATATTATTTATGTGATTATTGCAGGGTACTTATGACCGAGGCTTATAGTCCTATAGAAAAACAAATGCTCTATTACGGATCGAAAGATGGGAGCCGGAAAGGAGCACATTTTACTTTCAATTTCAACTTAATATCTGATATCACGAATCCAAATTTCACCATTGATGAGCTGTATGATGCTATCAATAAATGGTTGGTATATATCCCATCAGGATATACCAGTAATTGGGTGGTAAGTTTATAATTTTATATATATTATAAAATAATTAAAATAATTGATACAATTGAGAGTCAATAGCCATTTGGTTTAATTAATGAAGAACAACTATTATTATTACTAATCATTGGTAGAAGTCCATATTGCTCAAAGCGGAGTGACATTTTTCAAAGGAAGGAAGGAATGCTCGAAGTCACCTCCACAAATTTCGATCGTGTTGTTACACAATCATAATGGACATGTTTCGGTATTATAAATGACCATCTTCAGCCTAATTGGGAGTTCTACAACACAAAAAGCTTGATGTGGAAGAATTACATAATTTGTGCTTGTACAGGTTGTTTCACAGATAAAGGGAAATATTTCAATGGTATACATAGAAAAAATGAAGAATTTTCCTGTAGCCGAACCTGGATTTTCACTCCGCTCGATAGGTGAATGAATTCAACGTTCAAAGTATAAGCTTCTTATCAAATTGGAGGAAAATATACTGGGTAGGTCAATACATATAGACGAATGAATAATTATTCGAAATCGATAAAGCGCCCTGCATCTCCGTTATGAAGACTCTAAGACCTATCAAATATGGTATTTTCAGAACCACCTTGGTGACCCCTATCTACCATTGAAATATTTCCCTTTACCTGTGAAACACCCTGTATAACTTACTTGGAGTTGAGAAATTTCGATGCTACTAGTTGTGGAATTGTTGTCGATGCCCATAGTCGACCAGAGTTACAGAACATGACAAGATCATTGAAAAATCCAAGAATACACTCCGTTTGTTTGATGAAATAATACCAAAAGTTCTTTCGCAAACCACATCCTAAATTCACGCCATAGTTCTGATCAAAGGTATAGGTTATTGAATTTACTGAACATTCTCGAAATTAACTCTTCCTTGAATAATAATTGCGTCTTGTGTCTTAATAAACAAACACATTTTGATTCTATAGAATTTTTAAATGCTTTGGATTTTAATCGCTGTAAGTTCACCTAGCTTGGTCTCAACTCTTATTTCATGGTATATTCATAGTCAATGATTTTCAGGTTTGCTCAACTCTCCCCTACATGCATCACTCCTCCTACCTCATCATTCTGTAAGTAGTTGTATTTGCTACTGTTACATGCCTATGCTCATGGTAGGAATTTCATGTTTCACCGCCTGACATTGACTTTGACTTATTTCAACGTCTTGTCTACGTCAACACGTGTCGGCTGTTTGCCCCATCAATTTTATTGATATTTTCGTTGAGTAGCGCTTTCATAAGAGCACGGGGAACCTCCGTTTTTGAATAAACCCGTTAATTCATGGTGTCAAAACGAACCTTCTGGCAATCACCCTTTATTTAACATTCTGGTATATATGAAATTCCAATGCGAATAATGGTATGCGCTCTCAGGGCACAAAGCACTTCATTTATAGAGAGCCCGTTTCTTTATTCATATTTTGAATTTTCGACTATGGGCATTGACCACTTCAACATTTTTCAATTCCAAGTGAGACAAGCACAAATTATGTAATTCAATTCAACCTTTTTGTATTGTCCCTTCTGATTGTGTAACAACACCATTTAAAGTTGATTATCATAATTATTATTATCATTGTTAGTCCAAAAAAGAAAATCAACCTTTGTTATATTCGAAATTGGTGTATATACCGAGTGGCACGTTATAAAGTACCACCTCCTTTAACTCATTTATTTCTGAAAGTAGAAAAATAAGAATAGAAATAGCCTCACAGGGGAATTTCTCAGCTTCTCGAATCAACAGATACATTTTCACTATCTGAAAATGTATCTGAAAGCAGCATAAACTGAATGAATTTTGAATAGAATACCCTACATATTTTTTACCCTTTGAAAATTGCCTGTTATCACAGTTCTTACAGGGTCCAACCAAGTCATATTATGATTCTTTCGGACTTTCTCATAGATTCAGAATTCCATAACCACTTGAATTATTGTATTTCATATCGTGTGTCGAAAATTGATGTAGAATCCGTCGAAAAATCTTGGCTAGCTTCAGTTATTTCTGAGTTATTCAAGGAATACAAAATTTTTGTATTTTCGTTCTTCGTGAATATCTCGAAAACCATTTTGATTGCATGAGAAGACGACTTCAACATCTCGAAGGTACTTTTTAGTGATCCTTTGAATGGTTCTGTCGAATAAAAAAAAATTGAAGAAAAAATAAGTTGGAGGTCATGTCTCAGAAATTTGATATTCAAAAACTGACAAAACCATTCAAAGGATCACTTGAAAGTACTATCAGAGTAAAAACTTCACAAACGATGAGATTTCCACAAAATTCTTCTGCTACCAGTATATCACCTGACGCTACTGTGTTAGCGAAACATGTCATGTGTTTGAGAATTTTCTGGAAACCTTATCGTTTGTGAAGTTTATGCATTTATTATAATGAAATTGCAAACATATTCCTCAACAGAAATGAGACTGGAACTGTACACTACACCCTCAACCTGAATATAAATTTCGCATTTTCATTCTTCTATTCGCCATAGAAAGTGAGATAAGACTTACGCCCGAAATACATACAACATTTTTTCTACAAACGTCAAAAAATGACGCGCATTGATAACAAATTGCGAAGTGACACTTTTTTTCAGTTTCCTACGTTACCATGATACCTTGCACAAACAATGCGCGAAATAAAACAGAGCGCGAAGTACCTACTTCGCGCATTGTTATGTAAAATATATGAGATATTTGTATTTCAACTTTATGGTCCTCAATCGAGGAAGCATCCACGAAATCATTTTTTTTTGAACGTTCTACAATAGCTTTGTTTTATCTCTTGAAGCGCTCGAAAGGAAATTCCAATTATGTTCGTGGAACATGGTTCGTACCTAGGAAGGATAGGGGGAGGCCTTCAAAGCCAGTTCAACACTATTTCTCATATCAAGCTGAGCATATTTTTACTTTAGAACTATATATTTTGACGTTTGTAGAAAAAATGTTGTTTGCAACTCGAGCGCGAAATACTTCGGTCATCTCGACTATTTTTTCAGCTCGGCTACGCCTCGTTAAAAAAATCAGATCTCGATCACCAAAGTAGCATTTCGCTTTCTAGATACAAAAATAATTATTTTTCTACAAACGTCAAAAAATGACTAGCATCGCGCATTGATGACAATATGCGAAGTGACACCTTTTTTGCAGTTTCCTACGTTACCACGCCCCAGTGTGCGAAGTTGTGCGCGAAGTAGATACTTCGCGCATTGTTGTAAACTTATATGAGATCTCTGTAATCAACCTTTATGCACGAGCGGGCCGTAAAGTGCACTTTACCACCCAGTTTTGCGGGCGTTAAGTTGCACTCTACCACCCGCGGGATCATAATTGCCCACGGGCCGTAAAGTGCACTCTAGCGCCGGCTGTTCTCTGTTTCCTTATATCCACATAACAATTCATAAAAAACCCATGATCATTTTCTCAGATTCTAATATATCCAGCAGTATATCATGAATTTCTCCTTAATCCGATTCCATAGTCTCGCTATTATTATTATCACTAATTTTCAATTCAGCTTGTTCATTAAATGTATTGCTATAAACAACAATATCAGCTTGCTTGACAACAAGAAGCATATTGTGAAATCCTGAAGAATGAATCTCTGCTAGAGATCAAAGAGTTTTACTATTGCGATAATTGCAGTATTCGTGCGATAATTTTTATATGTAAATCATCCATGAACATCACGCTTCTCTTGATTACTGAATTTGTACGTGACAAATTGAATTCGGGGGAATATTAGTTTATCGTAATATATAGTCATTACTCTTGAGTCAGAAAATAAACCACTAGTGCATAAAATTGTGTATGTATCACGTGCGTGAAATGCGTTTATGACCTCCAGCGTGTAATGGCCCTCGGCTAGCCCCATCGGGCCATTATTAACGCCACATGCCATAAAGGCCTACTTTAGGCCCTTGATACATAAATAACTATTAGGGTCCTCAATAAGGCAAACATCTAAGAAATCATTTATTTCTGAATTTTTAACAATAATTGAGACCTTGAAAGCCAGTTCAACACTATTTTTCATATTATGCTAAGCATATCACTACTTTCGAACAATATTTTCTGATACTTGTAGAAAAAATGTTGTTTTTACTCGTGCGCGATTTTTTCAACTCGGCAGCGCCTCGTTGAGAAAATCAGTTCTTGACCACCCAAATAACTATTATGCACGACTGGTATATTAAATTTTTCATTGTGGATACCTCTTCACCTCTCAAGCACCATAGGAATACCAAATGGTTGCAGTGAGGAATATCATTGATGAAATCAATATTACCATTGTAGCTCCATCAATTGTTCGAAATAGGAGTAGACTATTATTTGCTGTCAATTTATGTCATCACAAAATACTTATTCTAGGTTCGATCACTTCATTTCACATCTCAGAAATATCAATAAAACTGTGATATGACATGATTCCATCACTTCCAGAACCTATATGTCCTGAATTGGCAAAATGAAGTATTACTATACACCCGGTTGTGCATAATAGTTATTTATGAATCGAGGGCGTAAATTGTGCTTCTATATATGGACCGCGGTATGTGAGTATTAACACGCCTAGGTCTATTAAAGCAAGTGACGCTCGGGCTATACATACAAAATTTTACGTACGACCGTTTTGACATTTACTTACTGTCAATATGCAATTTAATAAGCAATTTATCATGATTTCGAATTCATTTGGCCAAATTATGTATGCCAACGGCGAAGAAAGACCTAATGGTATAGTATACTAGAAATTACTGGGAAAACAGTGAATTCACTTCACCGCCCGATCACCTACTTCATCGCCCGCGGTACTCCTATACGCCTGCGAGTCCGAGCGATAAAATGACCCGATACGCCTGGTAGTGCATAAAAAACTTTTGAAAAATTTCACCCCATCATGGGTTATCTCAATCACCATTTACCTTATTCAGATTGGAAATCATGATAACCACCGAGCAGCAACTCGCTATGGAAAGGATAATGTAGATGGCTTCAATATGCTCATAGCGATACTTCCTGGAGTAATGGTTACCTACAACGGAGAAGAAATAGGAATGGAGGATGGAGAAGTCACCTGTGAAGAAGGATTCGATCCTCAAGCCACCAAGAACTGTTCTTCATTCAACCAAACGAGTAGAGACTTCGAAAGGACTCCTTATCATTGGGATGATTCAGTAAACGCTGGTTTCAATACTGGCCATAAAACTTGGTTGCCTGTTTCCGAGAAGTCAAAAGAGGTCAACTTGAAAGCGCAAAATATCGAGGGCATTTATAGTCACTACAATATCTATAAAGAGCTGATGAACTTGAGGAACAACTTCAAAAACTCTTCGACAATTGATTCTCTAGCGGTGATCAAAGTGAATGAGAATGTCCTACAAATTGTGAGGAGTAGAGATGATGCAGAGTACATTCTCTTGTTCAATATCGGGGATAAAGACGAAACTATTGATTTTCTACAAGCCAAGATGTACCATAAAGTAGTTGTGAGCAGTCTGAAGAGCTCTTATGAAATTGGGTAAGTCTTCGACAAGTTCATAGATTATCATTTACAAATTAATATCGATAGCATCTTGCATTTTCAAAGAGGCCATAACATTGATCACCACTATTATTATGCCTGCAATCGACTTGAAAGTCATTTTTGTTTCAAAATTAGTCATCGAAGTTGATGTTCTCTTTGATGACAATAAAATGATTAATATTAATGTTGCCAGGCAGCACTTTCAGTGACTAGGAGCTGGAGTTGAAGTTCAACTCCTAATTACTATCAATTGGTCAGATGATAGGTAATATAGGATAGCTGCTGACGTGCTCAACTGGGTTAAAATGATGGTGATTATACTCAACTTATATCCTATCAATCAAATATCAATGATAATTCTGTTTGGAGAGAGGCTGTTCTTCATTACCTGACAATCAATTCAGAAACTTATTGGAATCCCTCATTCTTGAGATCCTTACTTTTTCTCATTAAAGTGAGTAAAAATGACACAATTCTCAGTGTGCCCTTGACAGTTGCATGTTGAATAAACATTTTTCTACAAACGTCAAAAAATGACAAGGTTCGCGCATTGATAACAAACTGCGAAGTGACACTTTTTTTCAGTTTCCTACGTTGCCATGATACCTTGCACATAACAATGCGCGAAGTAAAACAGTGCGCGAAGTACCTACTTCGTGCATTGTAATGTAAAATGAATCAGATATTTATATTTCAACTTTATGGTCCTCAATCGAGCAAACATCCATGAAATCATTTATTTCTGAAAGTTCAACAATGACTTTGTTTTATCTCTCGAAGCGCACGAAAGGAAATTCCTATTATGTTCGTGGAACATCGTGCGTACCTAGGGAGGATAGGGGGAGGCCTTTAAAGCCAGTTCAACACTATTTTTTATATCAAGCTGAACCGAGAGCTAAGCATATTTTTACTTTGAACTATATTTTTTGACGTCTAACAATACCATTACCAAAAATGTATACGAAGATTTTTAATATTTCGACTGCACCCTTTCAAATATGGCTCAACCAAATTTAAAAAAAGACCGTTGTATAGAGATTTGAAATTCCTCTCTTCCAAGGTGTAACTCAATCATTGGTACAATTCAAACATTCTAAAGGAATTGATCTCTAGTATAGTATAAGGTTGACAGGTGGTTGAGAATTTTTAAGTAAAAACAACTTCTGTAATGAAAATCGACGTATCTGAGAATTTTTTGGTATATATTTCTGTTATGGAGCTACGTATTTTATTCCATCATATACAGGGTAACTCACGGTCGATGGTACGTTAGACGTTTATGGAGAACGGGACATAGGATCATTCTGAAATTATGGTTACTTACGTTGCTCTTGATCTATCGATCTAAAATATTTTCAGCTCTGCGGCGTTGCCGCTTCTATCGAAAAGTAGCAACAACTTATTTATTTTAAATGGAACACCCTGTAGTTTATTGCATTTTCAGATTCTCTCTGAAGAGCTGATCTCATCGATGTATCATACTTGGGGTCTAGCGGAAATGATTACAGAGATATAGGGTGTGAAAAATCGTCATTTTTCAACTTTAGGCATTTTTGTTGTCGAAACTATTCATTATTGGTCAAAACGGCTCACATGTCCCTATCTCAACTTTTGATTAACTATCTACTGATATTTAATTGGGACATATACCGGGTGATCAAGATTCTGAATTCTGCACCACCCTGTATTTGTTTCAATTGAATGTCAGTAGATAGTTGATCAAAAGTTGAGATAGGGACATGTGAGCCGTTTTGACCAATAATGAATAGTTTCGACAAAAAAATTACCAAAGTTGAGAAATGTCGATTTTTCACACCCTATATCTCTGTAATCATTTCCGCTAGACCCCAAGTGTGTCATCGATGAAATCAGCTCTTCAGAGAGAATCTGAAAATGCAATGAAATACAGGGTGTTTTATTTAAAATAACAAAGTTGTTGCTACTTTTCGATAAAAGCGGCAACGCCGCAGAGCTGAAAATACTTTAGATCGATAGACCAAGAGCAACTACGTGAGTAACCAAAATTTCAGAATGATCCTATGTCCCGTTCTCCATAAACGTCTAACGTACCATCGACCGTGAGTTACCCTGTATAGGTTTACACACTGTATAATTTGTACGTGATTCGTTGACTCTTCGTACCGTTTTAATGACATTATCATGATTTCGACGGCGGAATAGCTCAGTGGTTGAGAGCTTGACTAGTAATCAGAACATCGCAAGGTGGCTAGGTTCGAATCCCCGGCAGAGCAGAGAATTTTTATTCATAAAACGAGTTAAATATTCCAATTTTTGTAGCTTACACACGATTCGCTGCTGCGTTCCAATTAAAAGTGCTGCTTCTAAGGTGGCGTATGGAGTAAGTAACAAAGCCTACACAGAACACACCTCTACCTTTACCTTTCGTAAGGTTGATGGCCAGTTGGTATATACATACAAACATACCACCGAAGTACATTCATGACAGGGCGAAAGTCATATAATCTACTCCACAAAAACTATACTTTGATGTAACCAAGTCATAGAGACATGTTTCGAAGCTTACAAGCTTCAACATCAGCATATCAAATTACATAGGAGCACTAAAGAGACAAGAGACGAAACCCTTCAACAGTTTTAAAAAACTCACCTGTCACGGAGGCAAAAATTTATGTTTACATACTTATGGAATCAAAATTGAAAACTACTGATACATGATTGGAATTATCAAAATGGGACCGCGAAATGCGGATCTCGTTTGTTAGGACACTATCAGAATAAACATCATCAAACTGAGATCAAGTGAAGAAAATTAGTTGAACATGCCGGAGGGTTGCCGAAAATTATGAATTGCTCACATTAAATTATAGTTTTGGTGGAATATACTGTATGAATTTCGCCCTGTCCTATCGCATTCACTGCACTATAAGATGGATCCCCTCAGATGGTTGAGTACATATGCTACTCTACCATAGACTACAGAAGATAAACTATAGAATTCAGTAATCTTTGACTCTACTAAAGGACTTTCACACAGGGTTGATAGTGACGTCAATATGTCAACACATACAGTAATGCCAGTTGAAAGGAAATGACTGAATGAACAACCGCCCGAATATGGATATGTCTAGTGTTACGATCGTCGGACGTTATAATGTTTTTTGGAACTAACTCAAAAGCCGTCCATTTATGTTTCAAAATCAGCACTTGAAGTTGATAAATTAACTTCAATATTTTTATTTAATGAACCATGAACCTAAACAATATACTGAATATGAAATTCAATGATAGTGAAATTCCTATAAATAATAATAACTTGAAGAATGATTTATTATATAACAATATCAACAAACAATCACAGATATTAACATTAAAAATAACTTATTTTTCTACCAATAGACAATTATGCCCCAATATATAGCACACTAAGAAATTTCAAATGTCATTTAATCTTCTTCACTGTCATCAAAATCATTCTCACTATCATCAGAATCATCCTCTCCTACATTTATAATCGCTCGTGGAATATCTTGTAAATCCAAGATATTTTCTCTCTCCCACCAACTTTGAATTATTTGTTCAGTATGGCAAACACTATTGGCCATATTTCTGGAGTAACTTGCCTCAGACACTGCTTCCACATATCCAAAGATTTTACCACAGAACTCCCATACTGGCCAACATGATCTCTATAATTAATAAGTTTTGGTGATCCCCCATATCATTTCAATTGGGTTGAATATACAGTGATATGTACCTGATGACCATACTGTTCTGCAATAATGTCTGCCATAAAACAGGTGGTGGCTTCTTCCTAGAAATTTAAGAATATTCTAGCCCTATAGAATATTTGTATATTTCAAATCTCCTTGGCCCTTACTGGAAGAAAATCCATAGTGATTGAAAAACTTCAAAAAAGATAAAATTTACACAAATTTTGATGAAACACACATATTTCACTAACAGAGTAATTTCTGTGTGAAAAGTGTCATATGTGTTCTATTGAATCTTAAATAAGTCAAGTTGTTTTTAATTTCCAGTGAAAATACTTACTGTTCTTATACATGTCATAGATACAATTCCTAATTGCGACTTGTTCACCATCATTAAGGTCTAAAATGGGTTTTTCTCTTTGTTTGTTCTTTTTGGGGCCAGCCAAATCATAACCATGTTCCTGTTTGGCAGATATTCTCCATACAGTAACAATACTTATTTTAAATGGAGCAGCTACTCTCTGTGATTCAGACAAATCATATTTGGATCATTCGGACAACACAAAATATCATTATTACCATCATCCAACTGACATCTGTCTTAGCAGTCATTGGAAGTAATGGGCCATCGTTATCACGTTCATTTTCAAAATATTGTATCAATGACACCACCATATTCTGTGCCTCTGCACTCAATGGTTTAGGCATTTTGAATAAATCGAATCTCACCTATGATCCACAGATAAATCACAAACAATTCCTTGAAAGTACAAATTGTCACTGATAAATCCCAGAGATCAGCTAATCACAACAAATTGCTTCTAGAAATTACAAATAAATCTGGCATCGGTGTACAGTTTTGCCAACTTAAATCGATAGCGCGGTTCGCCCATTTCGAAAGTTACTTGTATTTTTCGATGTGCAGTTTTGGCACGAGATTGTTACAAAGTATTGCGCAACTATCAACCCAGCGTGAAAGCCCTTAACAATAATTATGTTTTCAGCGATCGAGTGAATCACCGCATCATTTTGAAGCCACATGGAAGTTTGATACTACAGAGTACAGAACCGCCCAACAAGTCTTCAACATTAATTTCAAGTTTCAGTATATTATTGTTGAGCATTATTATATCTTCAGTATTTATATTATAATGAGAATAAATGAGTATCATAGAAAAATTTCGACTAGGGAAAGTATTAATAAGAACTGTCATTATTTGGATTCAACCTCTTGACTAATTGAATTTTCCTCTTAAAAAAGAATACACTATATTTATTTCAAGAAGTTCGAGATTATATCAAATAG